TATGTAGTGCCCAGCATAAATGAGTACACCCTGGTAGATTTCTTATAAAAACATCCATCTCTCTTTTAAATCAATACTTTCTATGGATTCTTTACAATTAGATATTTGTGCAAATCTGGTTTATTGGTTTTAAATTAGATTAGTCATTAACAAAGCCGAAATTTAAACTATTATAACAAATTAATTTAAGATCATGGTGAAAAAATGAGTACACCCCAATGAATGTGTCAGTAGAAAACATAAAATAAATTTGTAATTAGCAGTAAATCATGAGCAGGTTAGTCTAATCAGTTATCACAACAAGTGGCCACATGAAAATTGACTATTTAAGAGAAAATCCACTCCCCTATAATGCTGATAAAATGGCACCACATGGAAAAGAAATATCACAAGACCTGAGATAGAAAAAAAAATGTGGCAAAAGTGATCCAAAAATTCAAAAAGGATGGACTTGTGGGAAGCTCGCTGCGACGTCCAGGGCGTCCAAGCAAGTTAACACCTCGTTTTGTGATGAGAGAAGTTGAAGAAAATCGCCATGCAAGTTCAGCACAATTGGCAAAATCATTAGAAAGTCAAACTGGGGTGAGTGTTTCCCGTGACACCATATGATGTACACTGCAGAAGAGTGGCATACATGGCTGTCGTCCACGAAGAAAGCCACTGCTGTAGCCCATGCACAAAAAAGCCTGTCTAGAATTTGCCAGAGCTCATGTTGACAAAGACGAAGCCTATTGGGACTCTATACTTTGGAGTGATGAGACAAATATTAATGTTTTTGGCTCTGATGGGTTCAGAACTGTATGGCGTCACAAGGGTGAGGAGTACAATGAAAAATGCATGGTACCTAAAGTAAAGTCAAGTCAAGTTAAGTCACCTTTATTTATATAGCGCTTTTAACAATACAGATTGTGTCAAAGCAACTGTACAGCATTAATTAGGAAAATAGTGTGTCAATAATGCAAAATGACAATAGTAAACATTCAAATAGTATCTGTGCAATCAAGTTTGAGGTACTCCATACTGCACTTGTGATCGATATGATGTCTCTTCATTCACTGCTACGAATTGATGGCAGTCAGATAAGTATGATTTGAACCATGCTAATGCACTTCCATTAATGCCAACAAAGTTTTCTAGTCTATTCAAAAGAATTTTGTGGTCAATCGTGTCGAACGCAGTGCTAAGATCCAGTAGTACTAATAGAGAGATACAACCACGATCAGATGATAAGAGCAGGTCATTTGTAACTCTAATGAGAGCAGTCTCAGTATTATGATACGGTCTAAATCCTGACTGGAAATTCTAACAGATACCATTTTTCTCTAAGAAGGAATATAATTGTGAGGATACTACCTTTTCTAGTATCTTGGACAGAAAAGGGAGATTCGAGATCGGTCTGTAATTAACTAGTTCTTTGGGGTCATGTTGTGGTTTTTTGATGAGAGGCTTAATAACAGCCAGTTTGAGGGTTAAAGGTTGAAGTAAAGCATGGTGGCAGCAGTGTTCTTGCGTGGGGTTGCATGAGTGCTGCAGGCATCAGGGATTTGCATTTCATAGATGGCATCATGAATTCACAGATGTACTGTGAAATACTAAAAGAGAAGATGCTACCATCACTTCACGCACTAGGTCGCCGGGCTCTTTTTCAACATGATAATGACCCAAAACCTAAATCTAAGGTCACTTGTTGATTGAAGAACAGGGTAAAACTAATTCAGTGGCCTGTCACCAGATCTCAATCCAATAGAACACTTGTGGGGAGTTTTGAAAAGACAAGTTGAACATCATTCTGCATCCAGGATCTGAAATACTTCATTCTTTATAGATATGCACATACACATACACACACACATGGTGTGACGGTATGTGAGTTTCCATGTTTACATACGTATATGATGATGATTTGCGTGGTTTATATGAAATTAAAAGGCGTGAGTATTATTAGCAGCTGTAATTAAGAGTCTTGTATATTAATTAATTGATTGTTATGATTATATTGAGTTGTATTCTGTGTTTTAGCCTGCATGTATGATGGCCGGGAGTATCAGAACGGTCAGGAGTTTCCAGACCCCGCTGATCGCTGCAGTCATTGCGTGTGCAGGAATGGTCAGGTGACCTGCAACAGGAGGCCATGTCCAAACCCAGGATGTAGTAACCCCATCACCCAGCCGGGCCAGTGCTGTCCAGTGTGTGATGGTACCGTATAACACCGTATCAACGTTACAAAACCCACGACAGCCTTGTCAATGGATTATGTACTTTTAGAATGTTACTTGTTACTTTTAAAGGGGTCATCGGATGCCCATTTTCCACAAGTTGATATGATTTATGAATGAATCGCGTGAACATAAACACATTTAGGTACATCGGGAGACGCATTCCCTTCAAAAACAAAGCTAATCCACTGCGTCTTCAGCGGTTCAGATGTCGGGAGTAAATGACGACTGCTATGTTCATTATTACATCCAACAACAGAACACCTCAAACGCTTAGGAGACATTCTGGTCTACTCCTGCTCCGGCGTCGAAACAATGGCGGACTGATGACAGCTCACTCAGGGTATAACATACTTTGGTTAAAATTTCTCAATGGTAGTGTAAAACACCCTTTTTACCCTGTCAAAATCAGCTCTGTTTTCAGCAAGCCGTTTTAGTCCATGTTCCTTTAAATGCTAATGAGCTCTGCTGACCCCGCCCCTCTCTTCCGTGGGGTGACGAGCCGTTCTCATGAGACCGTTTACTTTAGCCACGGAACTTGCTAACTAGCACGTTATTAGGAACGGCGATTTGCAAAGATTCATAAAGATTCAGAACCTTAAACTCACTTCTTCTGGAGGTGAAGCTGGATTATGAATGAATCGCGTGAACATAAACACATTTAGGTACATCGGGAGACGCATTCCCTTCAAAAACAAAGCTAATCCACTGCGTCTTCAGCGGTTCAGATGTCGGGAGTAAATGACGACTGCTATGTTCATTATTACATCCAACAACAGAACACCTCAAACGCTTAGGAGACATTCTGGTCTACTCCTGCTCCGGCGGGCGTCGAAAGGCGGACTGATGACAGCTCACTCAGGGTGGGTTTAAGGTAAAACGCTAGTGTCAATCAACAATCGTTGGTGGATCTTTATCATTATAGGGTGGTTGTGTGCACACACTGCCAACACATATTTCAGTTCAAACAACTTGTAAAAGTGCATGTCGCATCCGATGACCACTGTAAGATATATATATATGCTAGTGTTCTCCTAAAGTAGTGTGTATACACACACAGTGATGGTATGTGAGTTTTCTTACATTTATACGTATATGATGATTTGTGTGGTTCATAGAAAATGAAAAGGAGTGAGTATTATTAGTAGCTGTAATTAAGGGTCTTTTGTATTAAAGAGATAGTTCACACAAAAATGTAAATTTTATCTCACTCTCAAGTTGCTCCAAACCTGTATGAGTTTCTTTCTCCTGCTGAGCATAAAAGAAAATACTTTGAAGAATCTAAGGCTGCGTTTACACTGCAAGTCTTAATGCACAGATCCGA